AAGTAAACATCATTACATAAAAGGGTATGGTCTTTTTTTTTTTAGTTTTATTCATTTCAAACGGGCCGGATCTTTCAAACGGGCCGTAGTTTGTCCATGGCTGATTTAGATCCTTTGCCCTCTTCCTTTTCTTAAAAGGACAGCAGTCCTATAGGATAGGACCCACCCTATGACCACATTTAACCTTATTTACCTCCTAATGGCCCTGTCTCCAGATAGTGTCACATTGGGGTTCAGGGCTTCAACATAGGAATTGGGGGGGCACAGTTCATTTCAGCCCATAGGACACATCTGTGGTCGCTCTCACAGTTCACTAAAGTTGGCATGTGGGAAGCTCACCACCAAGGTCCTCAAGTTACTCTTTAAAAATCATTTTATGACTTAAATCAAGGCTGGACAAACTTTCCATAAATATTTAGTGAATATTTGGGGATTGCAGGCTATGTGGTCTTTGAATAATTGCTCAGGTCTGCCATAGCAGCACCAATGCGACCGTAGTAGGGCAATGTGCCAAAAAAACTATTTACAAAAACAGGTGGCAGGCCAGACTTGCCCACGTTCCAGAATTTGTGCACTCTGACTTAAGTCATTTACCTGCTCAATAAAGAGATTTAGAAAGATAAATAGCACAAATTTTTTTGACTCCACAAACAAAAGAACCATGGTTGGTGTTTGATGAATGTCCTTGGCTTTTTCTAAAGATTTTTGCTCTTAATTGGGGCTTTACTGTATTCTTGACTGTGTATTTTGTATTTCCTCAGATAACAGATCCATCCTAAGAATGTTTCTGTTATTTAAATGGCGCCATTGGGCGGATTTATCTTTTATCCAATCTGTCCACGATTGTTGAACAGCATGGTTAGTTTTTCGTGTGTGTGTGTGTGTGTGTGTGTGTGTGTGTGTGTGTCTCAGTAATGAAACAGAGAACGCTTTGTCTGGATTTTTCACTTCTTTGGGCGAGATCCCTAGGAGGGGGAGGTGAGGGACGAGTTGCTGAAAGGAGCTGTGGTCCTCATTTTGTTCAGGGCTTGTCAGAGCTGCACCTCCGCCTCTGTCTGGTTGGCAGCTGGTGTCTGCTGTCTCCAGCAGCCTGGCCTTGCTGGGGCTGCATGGGGCAATGGTGGCCAAGCCATCCGGCCCTCTTTTCCTCTGGGGGGGCGGTGCAGGGGGTGGAGCTGTGCCTTCTCTCTGCTGTCACTTGAAACAGCACTTGTTCCTCCTGTGTTCAGGGAGAGTCATTGAACTCACTCTGCTGATTAATTAAACCGTTGCAGGCAGCTAGCTCCTGGAACGGTGGCGCTGTCAAGGGCTCTTTGAGGCACACTTTGCAGGCTGTCAGGCCGCTCTTGATGTTAGGCACCATCTGAGAGCCAGTTTCTGCTCATGAGTGTTGCGGATGCCGAGAGGGGTGCCCATCCAGCCCCAGCCCAGTCGTGCCTCTTCACTCTGATGGCATCACTGGTGAATGGGGAGGGGCCACAGGTGCTGGGCCCAGGATCTTGGGATGGGGTGAGCAGGTGGGGGTCTAAGCCTTTTGTGGACAGGCCCACCCTCTGGACAGGTGGCAGGCCTGGGAGGAGACCCAGTGAAAAAGCAGCTTGTCTCAGAGCAGACCATCATTGGGACCCAGGCCATGAACTCCGCATCCCCTACCCCACCCCTCATGTCCCTGTCTCTTACCTTGACTCCTTTATCTGTCCCCAGATGCCCCACTCAGCACTAATGGAGCCACCAGCCTCTGGGCCCTGGCTGATTTGAGCAGGACTGGCCGCTCAGAGTCCTCATTACTTAGTGGCTCTCAGAGCGGGAGCCCCTGCCTCTCATGATTCTGTTGTCTGAGTGCTTTATGCCTCCGTGATGGTACAGAAGGCCCTGGGGCATGCAGGGGACCCCTCAGACCTCCTCCCCCACTGGTGCTCGATTTCTCTATCAGAAACTAATGACATGGCCAAACCCTTGGAGGAGCCTGTCTCTGTTGCGGTGCTGACAGGGGACCGCCAAGTGGAGGAGCTGGAATGAGAGCAGCAGAAGCTGTCAGCTTTAGTCAGTCCCGCAGACCCTTATGAAAACACCAGTTTTCCAGAAGGTTTGGGAGCCCTATGGGCTGGAGGGGGACGATCGATGGGGAAAACAATAGTGTGATTTACTCTCAAACTCAGTTCCTTCCCTGGGCGCTGCTCTGAGGCTGCCCTAAGGACTCGGCCACCAGCCTCTGCCTCCTGCCTGCTCCCAGCCCCTTTCCAGGATGGGCCCTGCAGGTGGAGGCGCTCTGTGCTGCACCTGGGCCCAAAGTGAAACAGCTGCAAGTAATGTTCCACTATGCACGTGACCCCAAAACAGAAGATGGCCAGGTGGGGGTGCTGTTGTGGGGTCTGGCATGTTCAGTCCCTGAAAGTTCCTATTAAGATGTTACCTTAGCGCCGAAACCGGTTTGGCTCAGTGGATGGAGCGTCGGCCTGCGGACTGAAGGGTTCAAGGTTCGATTCCGGTCAAGGGCATGTACCTGGGTTGCGGGCACATCCCCAGTAGGAGATGTGCAGGAGGCAGCTGGTCGATGTTTCTCTCTCATTGATGTTTCTAACTCTCTATCTCTCTCCCTTCCTCTCTGTAAAAAATCAATAAAATATATTAAAAAAAAAAAAAGATGTTACCTTCTGAACTTCCTTACCCAACCTGTCAGGCTGAAACAGTAAAGGGTTTGCAGTGCCTGCACCCTGAGCTCAGCTGCTCAGTCCACAGAGGCACTGTCACTGAGTCCTGAATCCAGTGGGCTGTCACTTCCTTCCTGTGGGATCCCCAGGACCCTGCCTTCTTCCTACTGCTTCCTCACAGGTGCCCATGCTCCCCAAGTCTCTGTCCCTAACTCATGACAAACCCACCCCACCCCGAACCTGCACAGAGCCTCGAGAGAGGCTGTCCCCAGTGGCTTCGTCCTGGTTGGGTGAGGAAGCCAAGCCAGGCTCCAGGCCATCGGAGCAGTTGGCTCCCTGGCTTGCGTCTATGTGTCCCCCTCTGTGGGTGCATGCAGGTGCTTTTTTCAATTACTTAAAGGAAAAGCAATTGCAGAGCCGCTCGATATAAATCCCTTAAGCTGCTGTTGATGGTGATGCAGGGGAGGCCACGGCCCGGCCAGGATTCTGAAACACGGGCACCATCTGTGGTCTTGCCATCCACAGCCAAATTATACCACCAGCCTTTCTGTGTTCTGCAGATTTTCATTAAATGAATTGAGTTTACTGGGAATCTCTTGGCCATAAATATTCCCTCCCTGTCTGCATTGTGTCAGTGCTGCTCCCAGTCCAAGCTCCCACATCCAGGCTGGGAGTGGGGAGGGGAGGGGGCGCTGGGGCTGCAGGAAATGCCCCAGGACATTTTTTGCAGCCTCAGATTTGGGGTCATAAATACTTCACTGTTTCCAGAGAAAATTGAGGGGAGTTTGAAGAACTTGACAGGACAGGGTACATAATTGCCTCATTTAATTAAGTGTTTTCCTTTCTGTTTCCTTCTTTTCCGTTGAGAAAGTGGCAGTGACATTGAGAAGGTTGTAAAAGGAAGGAGAGATGTGCATTTAAAATGGAGATGAGTTTTTAGCCACGGTTGGAAATGGGCTTCTCCTGAGCCTGTTTATAGAGTGGCCGGGAGAGGTCCCAGCTTGTGGGGGCTGCAGTAGGTGTCCCTGAGGGGCAGCTGCCCCGAGGCCTCCTGTCACCGGTTCTCAGGACAGGCATGTCCCCAGAAGAAGGCAAGGACTGTGCCTACTTTAGAGAAAGGCAAGTGCGGCACCCCAGGGTCAAGGTCACCCCTGAGATCCCCTCATCCTCTGCACCCTTTTCCCGAACTTCCACACAGCTTCAGCCATCCCTGTGGAGACCCCTCTTCCAGAGTCTGTCACCCATTCCAGGGGCTGCTGTATCCTTGGGAGCCTAGACCAGAAGCCAGCAAACTGTAGCCTGCGCCAAATCTGGTCCCTGCCTCTTTTTGTAAATAAAGTTTTATAAACGCAGCCATGCCATTCCTATAGTATCTCCGATGGTTCCCAGCTTCAGTGCAGAGTTGAGAGGTTGTAACAGAGACCATGTGGCCCACAAAGCAGAAAAGGTGATTGCTTGGCCCTTTATGGAGGTTGCCAGCCCTGCCCTAGATCAGAAGTCCCCTCTGTTTCTTCCTCCCTCTCACAATAGGATGGTTCCCATCTGATCTTGGCCTCATGCACAGGTAAGCGGGAGGCCAGGACCACCTGGGTTCCTCTCGCTGACAGGGCTCCCTGTTGGAGTCCGGATTCTGGGATTCTTGGCTGGCTTCTCTGGCCTCTAACGCCCCCAGGTGTCAAATGTCCCCAGGATACCTGTGGTGTGGTGCCTCCTGCACATGCCCAGCCCTGGGGCCACCACAACACTATAACCTGGAGGGAGAGGCTCTGAGAACATGTGGTTTGTTGCAGGGGGTGGTGTTCAGAGCATAAGAAGGACTGTGTTTGAGCCTGTCCTCATCACAGGTGTTTGCCCCTTTGCTGTGGACACAGGGACCCTCCTGTTCAGGGCAGTGTCTGCTCCAGGCCACCTGGCATTTGTTCCTTGGCACCATGTGCCAGGTGTTGGACCAGAGGCTCCTATTTGGGGGTGGGGGGTGGGGGTACAGCTTGGAAAAGGACATTCAGTGGCCTCACCTTCACCTGGGACAGGCAGATACCACTTCCTGTCTCATGATAGAAGGTCTAGTGTGGGGTGGCTCACCCTCGGGCTCAGAGGGTCTCTCCTGCCTCCCGCAGTGCACGTGCCGGAAGGATATGGTCAAGATCTCCATGGACGTCTTTGTGCGTATCCTGCAGCCAGAGCGCTATGAGCTATGGAAGCAAGGCAAGGACTTCACGGTGCTCGACCACACCAGGCCCACGGCCCTGAGCAGCCCTGAGCTCAGCACCTGGAGCACCTCCCGGGCCTCACTCAAGGCAAAGCTCCTCCGAAGGTGAGTTGCCAAGGAACTGCCCTGTGCCTGGCACTGCTGGCGACCGTAAGTGACCCCCAGCCTAGTCAGACGCTGCTGGCAGGTGGCCTCAGGCTGTCCCCTCCCTCTCTCCCTCTTTTTCTTTCCTCTCCTCCTCCTCTTCTTCTGTATCTTGCTGCTTCTCAGTCAGAGTGTTTCTCAGGCCCTGACCTTTTCGAGTTTGCAGGCCTCGTAGCAGGCGGTGTCTGTGTTGTTAGACTCAGTTTCCCTCCTGCTCCTTGTCCACCAGCTCCTGGGAGGCTGACCCTTTGACCCTCCAGCCATCCGGGTCCTCTCTGGGACAGCACACGCTGTCTCTCTTCCTTGTCTGCTTGTGACCTTAGGTGAGAGCCCTATGTCTCTGTGTTGGGGCTGTTGGGCTCCTCCTTGGCTCGGAACGATGGCAGGTACCATGCTGGAGCCGTGGGGCACAGGGGTCCAGTACTTGGTCCGTATCCCTGCCATTTCATGTTTTGACTGCTCGCTTCGGCTTTTTCGATAATGTGCTGCTCAGATTCACAATCTTGGAGTCACTGAGAGACCCGTCCTCCCAGGGACATCCTTTGCCACCCCCATTCCATCTCAGGGAGCTCCCTCCTGGCCCATGCCTTTTATGACAGTGTGGTGGCTGCCCAGCCTCAGGTCTGGCATCCATTGGGGGAGGAGAGGGTGAAGTGGCTGCACCCTCTTGCCATCAGCACCATAGTCATGGGGGCATGGGTGGCAGGTCCGGGAAGAGGAAGAAATTGACTTCCTGCCAGGAGGGAGATAGCAGTGAGCACTGTGCTCTTGGTATCACCTTGTAGCCCCGGAAGCGGCGGTCCCATTTTCCTCTCTTCTCTGGGAAACATCAAGGCTTTCAGGGCTCTGAGCTACTCAGACAGAGTTCCAACGCACTCAGTTTTGGTGCCCAAGGAATGTTCAGCAAGTCCTCACTGCGAAAGCCACCACAGACAGTAGGCTTTGCATAAACAATGAATGTGGTGTGCCCCAATGAAACTATTTGTGGACTGAAGTTGGAATTTTATATCACTTTCACATGTCACAAATTATTATTATTCTTTTAACTTTTTACCAGTTAAAGATGGAAACAACTTTCTTAGCTGGGGGGCCACACCAGAACAGGCAGCGGGTGGATTTGGGCCTCGGGTGAGGTTTTCCAATTGCAGCCTCTTGGTCACTTCTGGCTTCTCTTGTCCCCACTGATGATGGACAGTTGGCCCCAGGGACGGGCACTGAGGTGAGGGCACTCGGACAGTTCCTCCCTTTGGCTGTGCCCGGTTGGTGGCACTCCCACACTCTGCAGAAGCACCCTTTAAACTCTGCCCGCTCCAGAACCTTCTTCCCCGACGGGGCTGTTCTAGTTTTCAGCGCGTTTGTCTGTGAATCCAGAGTCTTTGGGCAGTCTTGGCTTCACCCACGTGTTTTCCCACCCCTTGGCCTCTGCCTTTGAGAACGTTCCATCAGCCCAGAATGCTTTCACATCTGTTCCTGACAGCCCACCTGAAGGTGAGTCTCTCTTTACTGATTTCTTTTGTTGTCTGTCCTTTTGATTCCTGCTCTCCTGTGTGTTCTCACGAAAAGCAACTTCTCTCGGTGAGGCACATCTGTGCAGCGCCTGATCCCTCCCAGCAGGGTGAGCTTGCTGAACAGAGCCCAATGCAGCATTTGCATAACGGCTAATGGATTGTGGCTCAGTCTAATTGGTCAACAGAGCAGACTGCCAATAATTAAGCGCACATCCAGAAATGGATGGGATTAGAGGACCGGGCCCCACCAGCTATGCTTCCCTTAGCCGGAGCCTGCTGTGTGCAGAGGAAGCTTCCCCACAGCCCTCTCCCTGCCCGCTGCCCCCCTCACTCCCTGAGCCCAGCCAGCCCTCAGTAGAGGGCGCTTGGCCCGCTTGTCACGCTTTGTTCCTTTCTGGAGCGTTCCTCTCTCGCCTCAGCCTCCTCTGCTTCCGACCTGGGGAGCTGTAATATTCCGACAGAGGGATTGAATAACAAATTAAGTCGTGTCCCCAAGGATATAATTTTCTTTAAAGCTTTCAGTCTGTAAAATAAGACAGATCCCACCCCCACCCCCCTTTTTTTAAATCATAGAGGGGCTTTCTCTGTAAAGGTTGATTGGGGGACTGACATTTCAAATCCCAAGACTGCTACCCTCAACCTGAGAGTCAGTGACTCTCACAATTGCCTGTACCTTTCTCTCTTGGCCCAGTGCCCACAACACATGGTCGTCCTGCACCTGCCCCTCATCTCCACTGAGGGGTGTGCTCCCCTCAGCCTCAGAGAGTTTGTTTTTGAGGGAAGGGCGGCTTGGGCTAGATAGGGGTAGGGGCAAATGTGGCTTCTAGACCAGGGTTGTGTGTCTCCTCCCCTGAACTGTCCCCTGCACCCCTGCACTGTGGACACTTAGGCTCATCATTCTCTGTGGGGGCCCCTTTGGGCACTGTAGGGTGTTGAGCAGCATCCGCGCCCCATCCTAGTCAATGCCAGGAGCTCCCCAGTCCCAGTTCTAATGGCCACAGATGTCCTAGGCAACACCCAGTGTCCCTGGTTGGAAACCCTGCCCTAGGCAGAGGTGGTGGCATCACAGTGGCTCCATGTTCATCTGTTGTCCATCCCCACTCCTCATGTCCCCCTGCAGCTTCGCCTTGTCCTTTGGCCCTGCAACTTCTCCCTGGTCCCTGCTCAGACCGACCCAGCCAGGTCCCCGCCACCCTACATGGAGAGTCCAGCCTTCCTGACAGCCCCCCACCCTGAGCCCCACATGTCATCTTAGAGCAGAGTCCAAGTGTTGGCCTCTCCAGGAGAGAATGATCTTGTCACCCTCCCTCGGATTTATCTTCCATGCCTAAATCTTGTTGAATACACTGACCCTCCCCCATGACAAACAGGGCACAAAGCTGGGACTTCTTGCTCCCAGCTGTGTGGCCTCTTCGGCCCTCACCACCAGGTGGGATCCTGCTTTGCTGGCACAGGCCATCATAGAGTCTGGCGCCTCTCCCAGCCCTGGTCTCTGCCAGCCTCCCCTCCTCCCATTCCTACCCGCAGCCCTTCTCCATGTGCAGACTGTCTTTTCCTCCCGCCTCCTTGTTACTTCCAACGAGAACATCGAGAAACGCAGCCCATTGACCACATGTTGCAGCAGGTGTGCATTCAGCTTGCTGTACACATGCTTATGGAACATCTGAGCTGCCACCACCATGCTAGTGCAGAGAGGAGACGCACTTCCTCACCAGGACCCAGGGTTCCCGCCCGTTCCAGCCCCTGCTAGCTCCACTGGCTATGACCTCCAGCTTCCCCTGCCATCCATGGGGGAAGCCACCAGCTGAGAGTGGCCAAGAGCCCCCTGGCCCTGCTTGCTCACCCGCACCACCTCTCACCACCTCTCGGATCACCATGGAAACGAGGAGCCAGGAGCAGCTCCAGCACCCCCTTTGATGCCTCCTGACTAGACACTGGACACCATTGAGCCTCTGACCCTACTCTTGCCAGGGTTGCCCTGGCGACTTACTGAATGTTTCCTAAATTGTTCTTCCCCAGAACACCCTCAGCAATTTCTCAGAGGCAAAAGCCTCTAGACGTCACACACCTGCTTGTCTATGTGGGCAGGGATAGTAGGAGGAGAGGGGCACATGTCCTGGGTCCGGGTGAAGGGGAGAAGGGCCCTGGGGTACAGAGCTCACAGCCCCTTGCACCCTGACCCAGGGGCTGCGCTGGCACCAACAGCCTTGGATGCCCCAAACTCCCCCTGGGTAAAAGCTGGTCCTGTGAGGGTTGACAGTCCTGCCTTAGGGAACAGAGGGATTGTGTGCTTTGGGCCCCTCGGTTCCCAAGCCCAGAGCCACTCTGAGCCCACTGCATAGGGTGGGGCCCATGAGGAGCCCCTGCTCTGCCTCTCCTGCCATTTAGGTTCCAAGGACACCCACTTCCATCTTGGAAATATTAGTACAGGTATTTGGACTCAGTTCCAATATTTGGTTTGTATAAACTAAGTAACGTCCAGTTAAGCCTGACAAAGTGCTCATTTATCTCTATCCTCCCCTGAAATGCCACTAAAATGACTGTAAAGGAGTGACAAATGGGAAGGGGGCCAACTGAGCAGCGCAGCAGACTTGGAAAAGGAGGAAAGGATGGCCAACGGGCACCTGACCGCAGCACAGAGGAGGCTCAGTTCAAGGGCTCACAGACAGGGTGCGGCTAGTTTGTGCTGAGGAGCTTCGGAAAGGCCTAGGGTTCCAGATGTGGGCACCTCCTGGGACAGCACCAAGGTGGGCTGCAGGCCAGTGTGTAAGGAACTGCTGGGCTGGGGGCACCCCCCACTCCACCCTAACTCCCAGCAGAGGATGGTGGCTCTGCTGCCTGGTGAGGTCAAGCCTGGGTGGTTCTGGGCCAGAGGCAGGGGCCTTCCTGAAGGTGAGGTTGTGGGAGCCTCGCTGCCAGCCCCACATGCCTCTAACCCAAGGCCAGAGACTGTAAGGGTCCTCTCTGGGTCACAGAATAGCCCAGCAGAGCAAAGCTATAGGTTCTGATGTTGGGGGTTTCCCGTGAAAAGACTGGACTCCTGCCCTCTCCATCCCCTTCAGCAAGCCCTGCTCACCCATGCATAGCCACCAACAACCTTCTTAGTCCCTCACACAACTCAGCCAGGGGTCCCTAAACCTCTGAGGAAACTCAGTGGAAGACAGAGAGTGTCTCAAACAAAAGGGAAAAGCAGAACTCCCCAGAAAGAGATGAGGCAAGGAGCAAGAAAGCTCACCTTCTCCTGTACGTTTATGATAGAAGCACCTGTTGCTATAGAAACATGTAGGAAAGAGATGGCTCTTGGACATTTAAAATGGGAGCAAAGAAGCCCAGCTGGTGTGGCTCAGTGGTTGAGTGTTGACCCATGAATCAGGAGGTCATGGTTCTATTCGGTCAGGGCGCATGCCCCGGGTTGTGGGCTCAATTCCCAGTAGGGGGTGTGCAGGAGGCAGCTGATCAGTGATTCCCTCATCATTAATGTTTCTCTCTCCCTCTCCCTCTCTGAAATCAATAAAAATATTTTTAACATAAAAAAATAAAATGAGAGCAAAGAAAACACAAGAGAGGGTTGGAAGATAGCTTGGGAAAACTAGAGGGCAGGACAGAAAGATCAGAGGCTCAGTCGAGGAACTCCAGCCTCTACTAGGAGTTTTAGGAAAAGAGAAAAGAACGATTCGCAAGAACCAAAGACGTTTTCAGATTACAGAGCCTGGCACTGGGGATGAGGATTATACGCACCTCGGAATATCACAGCTCTTCGGTTAAACAGAAGGTTTCCAGCTTCGGGAATGAATGAACATGTCAACATAAAGAACAAGGGACCCAAATGTCATTGGACTTGGCGATCATAATGCTACAAGCTAATAGACAAAAAGGACGAGGCCTTAGAAGTATGCACCTAGTGAAATTACCAACTAAATATGTGTGAGAGGAATAGGATCTTTTTAGACATGCAGAATCCCAGGTTTTCCCTCCTTTCTGAGAAAGCTAAAGGGTGTGCTCTAGCTACACAATGGCATCAGCCAGGAAAGACACGGAACCAGGGAAACCAAATCCAACCCAGGAGAATCCAAACCAGTTTCAACGTAAGGATGTCGTGGAGGTGTGTGTGGTGCCCTGAGTAGGAGCCACACCAGAGCTTGGAGATAACCAGGAAGGCCAAGCATCTAAGAGAGGAACAGTTACTCTAGGAAGAGCGAACAAAGCCTGCAGTGCAAGCAGCATGGATGCACAATATTTACAGTCAGTAAAATGTCAAACGTGGAATTTCACCACAACCGAAGATGGTGGCAGATTCAGGCAGAGAAGCTGGTGGATGTGGAAGCAGGAAGCATAGCCACACCCTGAGTGGTAACTAAGAGCTGCTTGGTAACTATGCAAAGGAAGCCAAACCAAAAAAATAAAAAGGAAGCAGCGTGGGGGAGACACATGGAAGTAACTAAGAGAAGAAACAGCTAAAAGAGAGGAGGGTCTTGTGTCTGGGGAGCAGCCCGGGGGATGCTGTTATGGTTGGAATATGATTAGGATGTGCCTGGTGGATGTCTCTCCCTCCCTCCGCCCCCCTCTGTGGCAAATTGGCCACAGGTTCTTCCTGTGTTAGTCTCCCAGCTTATGTACTCACAAAATGTGTATTTCTTTGCATGTTGACGTTCATCTTGCCTTCTCTCTACAGTAGGGCGTAGCCCTCTGCTTAAGTCTGTCCACCTAGTTCCACCCATTCTGGGGGTCTCCGTTTTGGGGGGGGGTGACCAGTGGTGCTGGGGGGCCCCAGAGCTCTGAGGCTGATGGAGTGTAGGGGGACGAGGGAGACCTGGCTCTCTGGGAAGATAGGGCCCCAGTGGGGACACTCCTGGTCAGCCCTGGGATTGGGTGGGCAGGGTCAGAAGTGCCAGTCCTGGGGTGGGGTGAGAGAGGGGACCGAGGGGCTGGGCAGCTACAGGAAGCTGAGGCCAGGTGAGTTGGTAGTAGGAGGATACCCCTCTACTGGGTGTCTGGGGCCAGCTTGGGGGTTCGCTTTGGGCACTCAGCCTTGTAGCCCTGTGGCCCCGCATCATTTCTAGACGTGGAGAGAAGCCCCTCCTCAGGTGACAGCTGGTGACGAAAGCCAGCTACATCTACCGCCAGGTCTTGGGGCTCGCCACCCGTTTCACTGTGGGGGCCATACCTGGCATTTCTCCAACTGACCCGGTGTGGATTCGCTGGTGGCTCTGCTGTGGTGGAGAGCATCTCTGGCTCCTGTGTCCCCTTCCGCCCCTGCCCTATCCCCTTCACAGTGACCCTTGCACGCCATGCTGTGTGTGATGCCATGCCTCTGCCCATGTTGCTCAATCCCCACCGAATGCTCCCTGCTTTTCACCTTTGGTCATGGGGTGATTCATGCTGCAAACATCAAGTGGGGCTTGTCACGTGCCCACTGTGCTCGGGAGATGGAGCAGCAGAGACTAGGGCCCTTGAGTTAGGCAGCCAAGCCATGAGAACAACCAGCCAAGGTTAGTGTTAGAAGACGCTTAGGAGGGGGCGCCCCAGAAGCCACATGGAGAGCAGGGGTGGGCTGGGGAGGCAGCAAGGAGGCTGTCAGGTCCCAGGTGGGAGGTAGGGGTCCTGGTGTCAGGAGCCCTCGGGGCCTCCCTGGGCCCCTACCCTTCCCTGGTCAGATAGCCCTGCTTCTGCTTGGTGAATGTTGGTCCTTGGAGGTGTGGCTGCCATGGGGACCCCCATAGGGTCTTCATATCTGAGTCTGACCTCACTGGGGCCACAGGAGAATTCATTGACAAGGGAAGCTGCAGCCAGCACCTCTCTTGGAAATGTCAACATTCTCGGGTTGCAGACTGGGATAGATGAAAAGGTAGTGGGGGCTGGTCATGAGGCCTGGAGCCTGCGGCCATGTGGGAGGGCATCACCCCCATTCCCTGGAGGGCGTTAGTGCCCTGCCCAAGGCTGGGCCTCTCCACACACCTGCCTCTGCCTGAGCTCCTGGGGTACTACTACACGCCTCCTGTCCGTCTAAAAGCTGCTCTGTCCCCTCCCCGGAAGGCTCCAGGATCCTGTTTCCCAGAACCCCTACAGGGGTGCCCTGGCACTAATCTGCAGGCCCACTCCCTATTGTTGCTTTCTTTTCTTCCTTTTTAACCCAATTCTCTCTCCTTTTCACTAAGAAGCCATAGCTAAGCCTCAGCGTGAATTCTCACTGTGGGCGAGGTTCGCCCCGCCATCCCCAGGACTGTGACACCCTGAGCCGAGCTGGATGTGGGGACCCGATATCCCGCCGGCCCGGGCCCTGACCTGGAGGCGGGTGACAGGGCGAAGAGGGTCATGGGTGCAGGTTGTTCCCTGGGCGTGGAGCTCCGGAGTGTGGAGAGGCGCACGGGGAGCCCTACGGAAGCAGGCGCCGAAGTCGAGGCCTTAGATGAGGCGCCGTGGGGAGTTAATACCAGTCCTAGAGAAAAACTCCCTGACATTTACATTCTAGACAAATTAGTCTGAAAGAAAGCAGACACTGGAAAAAGACTGAGGAGGAGAGGAAACCAAATCTAGAGAGGAAGAAAGAGCAGAGCAAAAAGCCGGGCCTGTCGTAAGTGCACCTTTTGTTTTGTTTGTCGTTTAGGCATTTTCCACCAGCTGCTGTTTCCATTGGGATCATGCTCCCTGTCCCTCCCACCCCCACCACAGGGGGGCTCCTGGAGCCCAGGTTCATCCAGTCATCCCATCTCCAGCTATCATCAGCACCTGCTTTGACATGGCCCCACCATCCCATTGCCCTCCCCATCCCCTCCCAGGCCTCTCTCCCTCCACCACCCCTACCCTGGCCCCTGGAGCCACCGCCTGAGGGTCCCCTGTCCCCTGTCCCCTGATTCTGGTTGTGGAGCCTCTGTACTGCCGAGCACAGACCTGGGGCTCTCCCCTCTGCTGTTTCACCTCCTTTCTGATGACTCCCCCTCTCCAGGTCTCACCGGAAACGCAGTCAGCCCAAGAAGCCCAAGCCAGAAGACCCCAAGTTGCCCGGGGAGGGGGCGGCTGGGGCGACTCCTCCCGAGGAGACCAGTGGTAGTGCGAAAGAGGAGGCTGCACAGGAGGCGGATCCCGAGGACGAGGAGGAGGATCCTCAGCTGCCACCGCAGGGCCGGGAGGCAGAGGGCACAGAAGGTCAGTTACAGCCGGGCGGGGAGGCCGGGCCTGGTGCCCACGCCGGCTCCTTCCTGACCCCCGGCCGGTGGAAAGAGCCAGCTTCGCTCTGGCTACAGGGTTTCTGCTCTTTAAGAACCCATTTCATGTGCTTTCCTGGCTGGGTGAGGCATTTCATAAGACATGTTCGTCTAGGGGTGCTGTGAAAAGTCCCTCTTCTCCCAGAAACTGAAGAGGCGGTCTCAGTCCACTTGGGCTGTTCTCACAGAACACCACAGGCCAGGCAGCTTAAAAACAGCAGCCTCGTGGTTCTAGAGGCAGGGAGTTGAGATCGGGGTGCTGTGTGGCCGGGTCCTGGTGAGGCCCTCTTCCAGGTCACAGATGGCTGCCTTCACGCTGTGGCCACACGTGGAGGAGCAGCGAGCTCTGCGGCCTCTGCTGTCAGGGCACCGATCCAGTCAATGAGGGCCCTGCTCTCATGACCCGATTACGTCCCATAGGCCCCATCTCTTGAGACTATCACGTTGGGGGGTAAATTTCAACATAATGCATCTTGGGGGACATTCAGCCACAGCAAAGTTTGCCCATCGTGAAAGTGGCCAGATGTTGGTGAGCCTGCACTGGGGTCGTGGTGGAGTGTCTCAGAAACATACCCTTCACACAGCACAGGACCATGTTAGCCATGGAACATTAGTATGTGTTTTAAAGGTTCCCACTCCCGTGTTTTACAGCATTTCCTTTTCTTTTTTATAGCTCGTTTCATTTTTCTAATTTATAGCTTTAGCTACTCCCACGTTTGCACATAACAGCTGCTCCCAGGGTAGAGGAGGGGCCTCTCCTCTCTGGCCCCTTCTAGGCTCCGGGCAATAATGGGGCCCGGATGGTGATTGCCTGAGGGTCGTGCCTCAGGCCTCGGTCACAGGCCATAGTCACCGGAGGGTTCTGCTTGGGTCCTCAGTTCCCCTCTTGATGTCTGTGTCTTGGGATGTGTGAGCTCAGCACGGCCCTGACTATTTCAGCATTGTGTGCTCACCAGGATGTGGCATCCAAGGTGACTATTCATATGTCACAGTTGGAGACGGACCTGGACGTACCCACAGGCCGATGCTGGGGTTCCCAGTTAGGGAGTGACTGTCCCTTGGCTGGCAGGTGAGTGTCTCTGAGGGGGACCCTCAGGCACTCACAAGGGGAAGAGCAGAGCATTTTTGGGTGAATTGTGTGCTGGCGCCTTCCCAGACGTTCCAACACGTGCTTGTCTAGTGGGGCGTCACACACCCAGGAGGTCCAGAAGGCAGGATGGAGCAAGAAGGCGCCTAGTTGGCGAGGAAGCATGTGCCGGCAATATCTGGGCATAGGCGTGATCCCCTACGTAGAAAGGGATGTGGGGACTGAGCTGTTGGGTCATTGATCCGGTACAGGAGCCGAATGAGCCCCACACAGAAGTCAGGTCTCATTCCCATGGCCAGCCATGGGCAGATGGCAGCATTGTTGGATGCTACCTACAGTAAAAGCAACCAACGTGTAAGCACCTTGGAACAAAGCTAACAACAAATAAAAGACCTTTATGGAGAAAATTAGAGACATTTTTGAAAAGTGAGGAAGAATTGGTAAATAAATGGAGCCATGTGTGTTGGGAGAACTCTCCCGTGGGAAGGTCCAGTCCTCCCCTCCCCCAACCACTATCTGGGGGTTCTCAGCTCCTTCAGGATCCCAGCAGGGTGTGGGGGTTCGATCTAAATGTAGATGGAGGGAGAGAGGTAGAAGAGGAGAGTCAGGGGAGGTCTGGGGACTGGCCGTCATTTCACAGGGCAGGAGTGAGCACCCCCTCCACTGCAGGTGGGAGGGGCGAAGGTCACCGTCTGTGCCCAGGGGACTCGCAGAGGTAGCCTCAAATGTCGGGGGGCACGCGCACAAGGTCCCATTTACTTACAGTTCAGAAAACTCACCAGCTGGACAGTGGGTTGTTGAGGGAGCTGTTGAGTCGGCTTAGGCTGCCTAACGAAGCACCCAGATGGGCTACGGGGGCTTCAAAAACAGTTTCTCGTCTCACGGATCTGGAGGCCAGAAGCCCATGATTCAAGGTGTTGGCAGACCTGGTTCCTTCTGAGGCCTCTCTCCTTGGCTTGTAGATGCCGTCTTTGCATTCACATGGCGTTCTCCCTGTGCCAGCATCTCTGCCCTAATGTCCCTGTCATGAGGACACCAGTCACATTGGATTAGGGCCTCGCTGATGACCTCACCTGAGCTCATGACATCTGCAATGACTCTAAGGCCACATTCAGGGGCACTGGGAGTAGGACTTCAACATAGGAATTAGGGGTATGGGGACATAATTCAGCCCATAATAGAGAATAAACACACTAAAACCAAGAGAGAAGCCTTGGGTTACTCCTGGGGGCTCCCTGAGTGGGGGTGGGGGATCTGGGAGGGGCACATGGTGTCACGTGCCATGGTCCTTCAGGCCTGGCACTGGCGTTGTGTGTGCTCCTGGATGTAAGAATACGAATGAACACGCACGTTCTGTAAGGCAGTTGGGTGGTCGAGCTTGGGTTGTGATGGTTAATAATGAGCTCTCCGAGGTGGGCCCCGGGACCTAGGGCCTCATGATGGGGGGCTGCTTCCCCAGCTGGCTGCCTAAACAGGAGGTTTCGTGTCCCTTGAGAGTAAAACATGCGCTATGGGTGAAACCACAAGCCACATGGAGGGGGATGTGGAGGACACGTGTTCTCCTCACCAGTCGTTGCATTCACTCCCCTTCCCCTCAACAGTCTCACCCCAGGACCCCTGGGCCTTTTCCCAAAGGGCTTCAGGGTCTGCATTGCAGGGATGGTCACAGTGTCATTATGGTGTCATGTGGCCGGGCCTCGGTGCAGTCCTCCAGGACTGTGGCTTTCATGGCTTCCAGCGGCACGTGGACCCCAGCAAGGATGGGGCCGTTTCCGGGGTGGTGTGTCTGCTCAGGGCTGACAGTGCTCCCCAGTGTTCAACACCCACCTTATTCCTGTCCCGTGACAGAGCCCTGTTCCCAAGAAGGAGGAGTTGGGTTGTGTGGGGGGGGTCTTTTTCTAAAAAGGAAGTGGTCCCTTGGGGGCACTGGATGTGGCTGCCACTGCTAGAGAGCCTCCTGGGAGCCATCTCTTGAGCCCTTGGTGGGAAGACAACTCTGAACACATCAAATAAGTGTTTGCAGTCAGGGGTGACAGCAAACACATCGGGGAATGAGTAGAAGGTTTTAAAGTGGTTTCCAGACTTCCTTTAATACCAGCTTAATGTCCCTAAAAGCTGTAAGTGCTAAGGATCATGTCATGTGTGAGCAATAATTTTGTGTTTGCAAAGGGAGACCATTTGCTGTTGCTCTGACAGCATCTGGGTGCTGGAGGGGCAGGAGGAAGCCCCCGGGGGTGGGAGGGACCCTGGGCTGGCTGATGGGGCCCTAGGGTCTGGGAGGCTGCTTCCCAGCTGCAGGTGTCCCCCTCTGCACCCGCCGCTGGGTGGTCTGGGAAGAGCTGCTGCCCTGGGAAGGACCAGCAGCCTCTCTCTGTCCTCCACCCCCATGCCCACCCTTCCCCAGGCAGAAGGCAGGAAGGCAGCCGTGTCAATCCTGGTTTGCCGGGACAGCAGGGGCTCCTTTCTCCTGCCTGGCCATGGCCATGTCACAGTGCTCTGGCCCCACCTCTAGTTGGGCACGGCCTTTCTCACAGTTTGGGAGATGGGGCAGCAGGAGGGCTGGTCCCGCCACAGTGCCGTACACTCCTAGGCAGAGCACGCAGCCAGAGGGACCCACCCTGAGACCTCCCAGGATCTCGAGGAGACAGGAGTACCCTGTGAGCAGTATGCGCTGTGGGCAGTTGATGGTCATGGAGCCCCTGGTTTCAGGAGTGGCCTGACAGCTTGTGACTGGCTTTAGGACAGGACAGCAAAGGCTTCTGTACCCAGCAGGGAACAGATGGGCTGGGCCTTTATGTGTCTTCACTTGGAAACACATATTGCCATGTAGGACCCCCCTCCCCCCCCAAGCACAGTCCATCCAGGCCTCACCCACACCAGGCTGCACCCTGCCTCGGGCTCTGCATGGGAAGAATGCGGAGTTGACAGGAGTGGCCTGGACTATGGGACCAAGATCAGCTCGCCCAAACTGGGCAGGGGGTGGAGAGGTGTGGAAGGGTGTGGAGTGGAGTGTCTCTAAGCCAGATTGCAGTCATGAGGCCACCACCCCCTTCTGTGGGCAACATATAGCAGAAGTTGAGCTTGGGATCCCAGATCTATCACATCATCTTAGTGCACCCCCTTACCCCCCTCTCCCCCTCCCCTCTGCCATGAACTTGGTGCCGTAGAGAAGGTGTGGGAACTCCAAAGAACCAGTCAGGTTGATAAAATCCAATGGGGGTAGGGGGTGGTCTTGGCTGTGGCATCCTCCCCACTTCTAAGAATAGTACTAGAAGGGCCTCAGCTCGTCTGCTATGGGAGGGTGGCGGGGTCCCTGCATTCTGCCCACCTGTGTCCTGAACCCCAGGAGGTGGGCGGCCCTACCTGCTGGGGAGGGACTGGCTGGGATCCTAAGCCTCCCTTTTTTCCCCTTGACCCTAAGCCCTTTTTTTTCCCTATTAATCCTCACCCGAGGATAATTTTTCCATTGATTTTTAGAGAGAGTAGAAGGGAGGGGAGAGAGAAACATTGATGTGAGAGACACATCAATTGGTTGCCTCCAGGATGCGCCCTGACTGGGGTTGGGGATCAAATCTGCAACCCAGTTACATGCCTTTGGGAATTGAGCCCATGACCCCTCAGTGCGGGGCTGATGCTCTAACCACTTAGCATACCAGCCAGAGTGACCTTAAGCCCTTTTAATGTGACATTTCTGCTCCATTTTGAGGCTTCCTCAGGCCCCAGCAGGTAGGGAGCTTGCTGAGGTCTGGCAGGGTGGCCTCTGATGGGGTATGAGGTGGGAGGGGAGTCCTGTGGTAACAGAGCCTTGAGCCCCCAGGTATCCTTCCTGACCTTGGGCTTGTCCCCTTAAGGGCCCTCTGTGTGTTTGTCTCCCTCGGCTTCCCAGAGCCTGGAGACATGAGGAAAGGGCCAGAACTTGTACCTTTTTGACAGCAGAGTCTCCAGAGTGGAGAGTAAATTGGACCCACTGTCCTCAGGATGACAGACTGGTGCGATTTCCATTCAATATTTGGACTATGAGGGAGAAAGAAATACTGAATTTCTTTAGAGAACAAAGCATTTATCTGAAAGTGCCTTTTACACAAATAGGATAGCGGCTCTAGGGCCATCCTCTGTGCTGGTTCTGTAAATTAGCCCCAACACCACTCTGGCCACTGATCTTCCAGGCCCCTGGTCACCTGCCGGTCACCTCCTGGTCACCTCCCGGGGCCATGGTGCTGTTACCAGGTGTTACTGAGCAATGCTCCACATCTCTCTCCCTCCACGTCCCTGGACGGGGAAGGGGCCTTTGTTGTAGGGAGCCGTCCACTACTGGAGGGGAGGGAGGTCTATTATTTGCTTTCCTTGGTCAGATAGCTTGACCAGACTCATGAGGGTCTGGCGGGAGGGGGTCACCAAGGCTCCCCTTGGGGCAAAGGCGAGAGAAGAATCCTTGGTGCCTCCAGAAGACTCAGGACCAGAAGGCAGGGGCCAGGGTGGGGGTGAGCATTCCCTGTCTTCTGGCTGATGGAGCCTCTCTTGAAAGACACAGGTTATGCTTGCCAAGGACACCATGGGCTGTCCCAGCAGCCAGTGCAGGGCTGCAGCTGCAGACGCGGGAGGGTGGGAGCAGGGAGTGGAGAAGGGGAGGGGGAGGGGGACTGGGGCATGTCCTCATGGTTCCAGAGGCCTGGTTCCAAGCTCTGCAGCCCCCTTATTGGGAGTGAGTGGGCGATTCAGCTCCTCTCAGTGCTTTGGGCTGGGTGTCTGCTGGCAGGGAGGTTCCTTGCTTGTTCCTTCTTGGAGTCACAGTGCCGATCAGGGGTTAAGTGACAAGCCCTCACCCAAGGTCATCAGCACTTATTCCGTCATCTTTGGCTGAGGAACAAGGGTGACATATGGACGGGTTTTTATAGCAAGAGGTAAAAATGTGGATGCCGTGTTGCACACCAGAACTCATTATACTTCCTGTTGTCACTAGTTTCGCATGGAGAGGGACAGATCCTTGCCCTCCATTTGTCCTTATTTTCCCAGCCTGAGACTGTCGAGCACAGGTAACTCTGGGCCTCCGAGTCCTGTCAGCAGCACGACCCTCATCCGGGGTGTTCAGGAGCCCCTCCGTCGCAGGCAGCCAAGATAGTTGGTCCCCTGGTTCCAAGCCAGTGTTCCTCTTTATGTAGCATCCTAAACCCCTGGGGACCTGGGACACCCAAATGTTCTATGTGCCCATTCTCCAGACGGGGCAGGCAAGGCCTGAGGGCTCTAGAGCTCGCTGTGCTCCCAGCTCGCCCTGGTAGGTCATCACCATGCCTGTCATCCTTGAGAGGAGAGTCCCTGGGGCTGCCACGACAGTGACCTCACACATATATTTGCTTTCAGTCCTGGAGGTCAGAAGCCTCACGTGGGCCTCCCGGGGCTGACCCAGGTGTGGCAAGGCTGGTTCCTTTTTGAGGCTTCAGGGGAGGGTCATTTCCAGCTTCTGGAGGAACTGCATCCTGGGCTTGTGGCTCCTCCTTCCAGCGTCAGCATCTCTCTGACCCTTCTGTAGTCATGGCTCCCTCTGACCACAGCTGGAAAAGGTCCTCTGCTTTTAAGGACCCTGTTAGTACACCCAGACCATCTTCACTAACCCACTCCCATCTGCAAAGTCATGGCCATGTCAGGTTCCACACTCACAGGTCCCAGAGCTAGGACATGGGCATCTCTGGGGGCCATGATTCTGCTGACCACACACCCATCCTGGCCCCCAATTAAAATGCCATGGGAGACACGCCTCATCTACTTCCCACCCGCCCTGTCCCCTGTCAGGAAATCCCCCAGCACCGGCCCTTGGGGGCGGAAGGGTGTTCCAGGCCCTCCAGGCCCATCTGCTCTTGGTTCCACTTAAGTGACTTCTCCTTTATGGTTTATTGTTTGAGTCTTTGCTTTTAAAAAATTCTACAAGTTGTGTGTTTTTACTGTAGAAATACACAAAACTCAGATATCCGAAAGGAAAACAAATCCTGCCTCTTCTACCCCACCCCTTGGGAAAGACACATGTCTTTCCTCTACTTCAAGCTAATTCCAGAAGGTGCTTTGAGCACGTACAGAACCCAGAGGTGAGGGCAGGGGTGGGGGCTCCTCCAAGACTCGGAAGTGGCTGGTTTCCTGCCACCTGGCAGCATAACTGGCAGTGATTTTAACTTGCTCGAAGCCTGTGTTCTTTTGGGGAAGTCCAGAGGGGTTTCTCCTCCCCTCCAGCCAGCTCCTGCCTGGGTCAGGGGGCTCCCACGAGGGTGCATGGCCACTGGCCTCAGCTGTGACTGGTCTTTCCTCTCTTCTCACAGAGGACAGGAGGGGCAAGCTGCGGCCAGCCAAGGCCAAGGGTGACCGGAAGAAGAAGAGCCCCCTGCACCCTCACCACCCACTCCTACCCGAGCTGCCACCACCCCTGCCCCCCCAGTTCCCCGGTGAGGAGATGCCACCGCCCCCACTGGAGCCCCCAGTGCTGACCCCCGGCCCTGATGTCACTGAGGAGAGCCCCTTGCCACCGCCCCTCAATGTCATGCCCCCCGAGGCACCTGGCGAGGAGCTGGAGCCCAAGCCCCGCCCCATCATCCCCATGTTGTATGTGGTGCCCTGGGCCAGCCAAGCCACATGTGAGAAGGGCCGAGTGTCCTGCCAGCAGGCGTCTGAGCACTTTCCCCAGAAGGGCCCTGCCTGGAAGGAGCAGCTAGCCCCCATGGAGCTGACGGAGCCTGAAGAGGACAGTGGAGCCAGCGAAGTGCAGGTAGGATGCCCTCCAGGCTCCCTGGGGCTGGGGATCCTGCCTGTCCCTGTGCACTGGCCACAGCATCCCTGCTCATGAAATGGCCCCCATGGCTCACAGAAGCCTGCAGTGTGTGTGTGGTTTAGAAACCACAGTGGCTCTTGCCACCTCTTCCTGCTGGGGAAACTGAGGCACCACTGAGCTGAACCTGCTCCCGTCTCTGAGCTGTGACTCAAAGACACTTCCTGTCCTGTGTTTCAGGCTCAGTCAACGTTTTCCAAGTTGAAGATGGAGATCAAGAAGAGCCGGCGCCACCCTCTGGGCAAGCCGCCCACCCGGTCCCCTCTGTCAGTGGTCAAGCAAGAGGCATCCAGTGATGAGGGTGAGCGAGGTTGCTGTCCCCTGCCTGCTCCGGCCCTAGGCTCTGTGACTAGAGGAAACCTTTGAAACACCCCTCCCCAGGCAGACAGCTGTCATTAGAGACACCCAGGGCTTAGACCTATGGCTGGACATGGGGGGGTGGGGGGAGAGAGGTGACACAGGGCTGGGGAGCCACCAGTTGCAGCAGAAGTGACTCTTTCAGCCGCTGGGCTGTGGGAACTGGATCTGGAGCCGCCGAGCCGTAGCGGCGGAGGCTTGGAGATGAGAAGCTTGTACTTAACACTCGGCTAGAGTCAGAGCTGCTATCTCGTGGGCAGAAACCCTGGGAAGCCAGTTTTTCATCTTCTGCTTTAGCCTTCCGCTTAAGAAGCACGTGGAATTTGAAAATCTTCTGGATGGCTTCTTTTATTCTGAATCTAATTTGAAGGCTAGGGCAGGGAGGGTTCTAGAAGCTCCATGGATCACAGCACTGAGCTCCCAGGAGTGGAAGGGGTCTCGAGGAAGATGCCGCTGTGAAGGTTGGGGCCTCAGGATTGAGCACTGGTTTCCAGGGCAGGCTCCCAGGGGAGCGCTGAGTCTCAGGTGCTCAGGAAACCCAGCAATGAGACTTCGGGGACAGGGGCTGGTAATGGAGGCTGAGAGGTGATGACAGGCAGGGCGGGGGAGGGGGGACAGAAGAGACCCGCTAATTAGTGACCTCCATCTTCCCTTAATGCAGCGGTTCTCAGCCTGTGGGTTGCGACCCCTTTGAGGGTCGAACGACCCTTTCACAGGGGTCGCCTAAGACCATTGGAAAACACATATATAATTACATATTGTTTTTGTGATTAATCACTATGCTTTAATTATGTTCAATTTGTAACAATGAAAATACATCCTGCATATCAGATATTTACATTACGATTCATAACAGTAGCAAAATTACAGTTATGAAGTAGCAACAAAAATAATTTTATGGTTGGGGGTCACCACAACATGAGGGGTGGCGGCATTAGGAAGGTTGAGAACCACTGCCTTAATAGGACTTTCTGGTGACACCACCTCACCCCCTCCTACCCACTTCTCCTCCACAACTCCCAGCCACACTCTCTTGGCTCCTTTGAACTCAAGATCCTACCTGACCTGCCAAGGTTTGGCTCAGCCCATCTCCCACCCCCAGACAGGACCAGCCCCCTCCACCCCATCCTGGGTGGCTTGGTGGCCTCTCTGCAGAGAGACTTGGGGGCTGTGTAAGTGGGGACACATCACCAAGAATTCTCTGGGCAGTAAAACACCCACCCTTCAAGGTGGGGAGTGAACCTCAGGCGAGGTTTAACTTTTTCTCCCCCACCCCCCTTACTCTAGAAGCCTTCCCTTTCTCCGGGGAGGAGGACATGAGTGACCCCGAGGCCCTGAGGTCCCTGCTGTCCCTGCAGTGGAAGAACAAGGCTGCCAGCTTCCAGGCTGAGAGGAAGTTCAACGCGGTGGCTGCCCTCACCGAGCCCTACTGCGCCATCTGCACCCTCTTCTACCCGTACAGCCAGGTGAGCGCACGGCCCCAAAGGGCCACACAGGGCGCCGTCTGTTCCCCTCGGTGCCACCATTTGCTCTGCTGAACAGGAACTCTGGGGCGGGTGGTGGGGAAGGAGAACCCATTTGCTGCAGGAGCCACAGTGGGATCAGGTAGAGCCTGGAGGATGGAAATGGGACAGGTGGGGGTGGGCCAGTCACAGGAAGAAGCCCGTGTGCGGGCTTCTACACAGTTCAGGGTGTGCGGGAGCCTCCCTTTATGAGGGCTGGGGGGAAAGGGCCCAGTTTCTGAGTTTTATCTAAAGGTGATTTTTCAATGGAAATAAAAATGGGGTATCAGACCGAGGGGTGGGGTTACGGCATGGAGGCATCATGGCCACTGTCCTCAGAAAGTTCCTCAACTTGGCCTGGGGTTGGCACCAGCTGGGGCCAGAGGGCATGGGTGATGACCAGCCAAGTCCCAGAAGTGGGCTGGGGCCAGGGCAAAGACCCGCTGTGACCCAGCTGGGACACCAGAGCTATGAAGACCTGATGGCTCACCCCTGAACCAGGCACATAGCGTTCTGCACTTTCCAGACTGGGGCCCCCTCTGTCCCATGTTTCCCAAGTTGGGGACCTGGCATCTCCCTGCACTCTGTTCTGTGCCATCAGCCTGCCCAGTTTCCCTCTTATTTCAACCCCTTGTCCCCCTCCCCTGCCCTGACCATTGCCTGCTTTCCAGCCCTTTCCTCCCCCCACAGGGCCCCTGTCCTTCCTGTTAGCGCCTCACCATGGCCAGGACAGGCATTTGGGATGCTGCTCCATCTGTGTACTCCCTGGCTGGAGACTCTGCCAGGCTCACCACAGCCTTCAGCCGGGCCACATGCCCTGTGGCCTTTGACAACTGCCCCCCTACCCCCCACACACACAGCAACAGTGTGCTCTTCGATGTCCCCCAGGGTCTCCCACCCCCAACCCCCTGCCTTGCCAGTCAGATTTTTGTTCATTCTTTGAGTTCACTCATTTGCCACCTCTTCCAGGAAGCCTTCCCAGACCTGCTGTCCCCAGGCTGGCTTTGGAATGCCCCACCTTGGGCTCCCCACTCTGCTCTGCTCTTGTTCCTGCCTCTGTGTTGTTGACCCCTGGACTGTGAATCCCTGGAAGACAGAGCCAAGTCTTGCTTGCTTTTCTGGGTCTTGTGCTCCTAGCCTAGTGCCTGGTGCTTTCTACACAGTAGCTGAGCTGCCCAGGGGTCTGTGCCCCTGCCAAGGGCAGCGTGCCCGTCTCTAGAGCTGCCCAGACTCACTGTCTGTAAGCAGACTCAGCGTCTGGGGGAGGAAACAGGTGCTATCCAGATGTCTCCTCCAGGCACATCCCCCTCAGTGCTGCTGGAAAGGCTGCTGGAGCCAGAGTGCTGGCACCTCCAACTTCAGACGTGAATCTTCTTAATTCCAGCTGTTAAGCAAAGAGTCGTGGCTAACTTTAATCAGCCCGCAATGCCGGTGGGCTTGTGGGCCAACCGTTTCCAAAACTGTCAGGGCCCTCGCTCTAAGCAGGACATGCTGCCTGTTTGGAAAGAAGTCATTCGGGGCAGGTTAGAGGGGTGGGGAGAGACTGATGTGAGGCTCTTGTTTCAAAGCTAGTCCCCTAATCTGAGGTGCCACCATCCTCCTGACACCTGGCCCGTGAGGCCAAAGTTCTCCAGTGGAGCTCTTTCCTCCTGGGTCAAGAGCAGGGGCAAATCCTCCTCTCACACCTTGGAGGGCCTGGGGAGGCTCTTTTGGGAGCCCCATGCCCTGTGATAGGCATGGGGGTGCTAGATCCCAGTGCCTTGGCAGGGTCATTTCAGCACATGGGGAGATCTGGAGAACTCATTACAGCCATCATGGAGTACATATTGGAGGTGGGGGGACATCTACATAGGTACACAGATAACATGGCATCAGGTGGCAATCTGGACCACAGAGACAGATAGCAGAGCAACGGGCTAGGGCTACTAGTCACCTGGGCAGGGCAGGGTCCAGAACAGAGATCTGAGTGCTCCAGGCAGGGGAAACAGTGTGTGCAAAGGCCCTGGGGCAGGATGGCATGTGGGGTGTTGAAGGAAGAGCAGGGCCCATGTGGCTAGAGGAAGTGGGTAAGGGGCTGTGAAGGCAAGAGGGTGAGGGCAGCAGGGTGGTGTCAGTGCTGCGTCCAGATGTGACCCTAATGGAGGGTTTTCAGTGGGGGCAGAACAAGACCTGACTGTGTTTGGGAGAGCAGGGTTGAGGGCTGGGAGGGTGCACTGGGGAGGCCCTTCAGGGCCAGCTGCAGGTGTCCTGGTAGGAGGCCCCAGTGCAATAGCTGGGAAGGTGGGAGGCAGGCTAGGGCTGTGTTTGGATATAGAAGCAGCTTGAGGAGTGGACCAAGGGAGGTGGCAAGGATGGCCCCGAAGCCTGGTTTAATTATGACAGGTGGCCCCATACTGGGCTCTCCACTGGAGGCACCCCCCTTCTACAGTCCCTACAGATGGAGAAGGAGGCCTCACAGGCCTCCCTCGGGGAGGGCCCTTCCATACCACCTTCCAAGTGTGGCCAGAAGACACGGCCGCTGATCCCTGAGATGTGCTTCACCTCCAGCGCCGAGAACACAGAGCCACTCCCCGCAAACTCCTACATCGGTGATGACGGGACCAGCTTGCTGATCGCCTGTGCCAAGTGCTGCCTGCAGGTCCATGCCAGTGAGTGGGGTCCCAGACGACAGGCAGCTGGGCTGAAGGAGGACTGTGGGGGCTGCGGCATGCAGCCGTGCTCGCCCTTCTAGGATGGCCACCGTCTCGGCTCTGGAGCCAGAGTCCCTTCCCCTCGGCTGCTGTTTCGGGGCTGTCACAGGCCCTGGGTCCTGGGGCGGGGTCCTGGCCTTCAGGGGAAGACTTCTTGCCCTTTCACCTGGCCAAGGTGGGCCTGCTTGATCAGCCTCCTTCCAGCCAGTTCTGCTGAGCCTTGCCCTGCCCTCTGGGCCTGGGTGCCACAGGAAGTGATTAGGTGCTTGTTAGGCAACATCATGATTCTAAACCAGCCGTGGGCAAACTACGGCCCGCGGGTTCTCTGGGCCTGGGTGCCGCAGGAAGTGATTAGGTGCTGGTTAGGCAACATCATGATTCTAAACTCTGCTTTGGGGCCAGAGTTGATGGTAAAGATGTGACTCTAGAGAGGTCCGGGATCTGATATGTCTGGTGTCAGCAGCCACCCTCTCCCAGACCCTGAAGCATAGCCCAAGGAGACAGGAGAATGGACCTCTGCCCCCTTCAGCATCAGGGCAGGGAATGGGAGGCTGAGATCTCAGGAAGGAAGAGAGCCTTCTGGGACCATGTAATTTCCCGTCCTACAGAGGAGAGCAGCCGAAGGTCTCAGTCCCTCGTCTGTCCCTCCTCTGTCCCAGCAGAGGCTGCCTGGGGTCATTCTGTCTCCTGTCCGGGAGCCTGTTGGCTCAGTGAGATGCTCTCCAGGGCAGGCTCCCAGGGACCACTCTAGGCCTGTGGTTGGGTTCTCAGAGGAAGAGGCGCCTCCCTCACTGACCTCAGGAGGCAGAAGGCTTAGCACAGGTGTGCTCCTTGAGACCTGGCTCTGGAGGGAAGTGAGCCCCTACTTCCTCCAGGAGCCAGGCCCCCCAGGCACTGACCTTGGCTGAATGCCTTGGGACAGCACAAAGGGGTCCAGTGTAGGCTCTTGGGCACTTGTCCTTTGGGGTCTCCTCTAGGGACCCCTTAGCAACTGGCTGCTGCCCACTGCAGCCAGCCAAGCCCATTTGGTGAGCGACCAGCCCTGAAGGCTGAGGGCCCTGCAGTGCTGCTGGGCAGTGACCCAAGGGTGAGGCAGAGCCCCTTGTTCTGGGCAGCACCGTCTGTTTGCCTCCTTCTCTGTGCCCTCTCCCTGTTTCTGAACCATGACCACGTTTCAAAGCAAATCCCCTTGGTGACTCAGAACCTGACTTGTGTTTCAGAAATAGCTGTTCGCCTGAACACTGGGCCGGCCCACCCAGCCCAGCCCATCCTAACTCCAATGTCCAGGCTGACTTTGCATGTTATACAACTTCTTGGTCACTTTCCCAGAGTCTCAACTCAGCAAAGCTTAGGGAGAAGGGGGTGGGGGCAGTGACAGGGCCCTGCTCCCCTTCCCAGCATCTGTTTCCAGACCCTCCTCCTGCCCTGTGTGCCGTGGCTGGGACTGAGGCAGAGGAGGTGAGAGCAGTTCCCCCAGAGCCGAGGCTGGGTTCCAGGAGGCCCCGAGCTTCGCGTGCAGCTGCAGTGACAGGTGCACCTGGCTCAGCCGTCCTCCGCTGCCTTCCAGGTTGCTACGGCATCCGCCCGGAGCTGGTCAACGAAGGCTGGACGTGTTCCCGGTGCACGGCCCACGCCTGGACTGCGGTAACTCACCCCTGCAGCTGGGGTGGTACTCTGAGAGCTGTCCAGTCCCATGGGGGAGCCAGGCCTGGGCCCTGGGCTTGCCCGATCCCGCAGTGACCCTGGGCTGGCGACCTCACCTCCAAGGGCCTTGGTTTCTTCACCTTGGCAGTGAGGGGGTGGAGCCCGACGCACTCCTGGCCCCTCCCTTTGGTGACTGCTAGCTTGAAATGTAAGGACCGGGGGACAGGGGATGGACCAGGCCGCAGAGCAGCATGGGGGCAGCCCTCCCCTGTGCCCCCCTCACCATGGGCTTGTCTGTTCCCTGCAGGAGTGCTGCCTGTGCAACCTCCGGGGAGGAGCTTTGCAGATGACAACAGACAAGAGGTGGGTAGAAGGGGTGCTGCTTCTCCTGGGTGTGTGCCCCTAGAGGTGTCGGTTCCTCCTCAGGGCCTCGAGTTGGGGTGGGGGGACCAGGAAGAGCAAATAATTGTTCAGATTAGATTATCCCTTAAAGTCCTGTAAGCCCTGAACGGCCAGCAACAGCACTGTGGATAGGGGCAGTGCCAATAGAACACTGTGGATAGGGGCAGGGAGGGGGCAGGGGGCACCCATGACCTCTCATGCTCCCCCAGATGGGTCCATGTGATCTGCGCCATCGCAGTCCCTGAAGTTCGGTTTCTGAACGTGATGGAGCGCCATCCTGTGGACATCAGCGCCATCCCTGAGCAGCGGTGGAAGCTGGTAGGACCCCTGGATCTTGTCCTGTACTTTTCTTGCTACCTAACTAGCCCCTCTTTTTTTTTTTTTTTTTTTTTTTTTTATCGTGGTAAAAACACTTAGCATGAGATCTCCCTTCTGAATAAAATTTTAGGTGCACGGTACAGTATTGCTAGCTATAGGCACAGTGTTGTGTGGCAGAGCTCTGGGATATATGCAGCGTGTGTAACTGAAACTCATACCCATTGATGAACAACATCCCTCTCCTGGCACCCACTCCTCCCGCCACTGCTTCTCTGAGTCTGACTGTTGTGTGCACCTCCTTTCAGTGGAATCCTGCAGCATTTGGTCGCTGCCTCTAGTTTCTCTCGCTGAACATAATGCTCTTACGGTCCCTCCTTGTTGTCACAAATGGCAGTATTTTTTTTATCATGGCTGAATAATATTCCACTGTGTGAATGGATCACATTTCTCTATGTATTCATCTATCAGTGGGCACTTAGGTTGTTTCCATGTCTTGGCTATGGTGAATAATGCTACAGGGAACACAGGGGTGTATACAGGGTGGGGCAAAAATAGGCTTACAATTATTCATATGGCATATAATATCCTATATAATAAAAGGGTAATATGCAAATAGACCGAATGGCAGAACAACCAAACAAACAATCAAAGTGTAATATGTTAATGATATGCTAATTAGGTTGTTTCCATGTCTTGGCTATGGTGAATAATGCTACAGGGAACACAGGGGTGTATACAGGGTGGGGCAAAAATAGGCTTACAATTATTCATATGGCATATAATATCCTATATAATAAAAGGGTAATATGCAAATAGACCGAATGGCAGAACAACCAAACAAACAATCAAAGTGTAATATGTTAATGATATGCTAAGGCGGCTGAGCCTAGCCTGTGCCCTCTTGCAATCCGGGACCCCTCGGGGGATGTCGGAGAGCCTGTTTCAGCCCAGTCCCGCAGACCACTCCCCTTGGAAGGGACTGATTGGGCGCAAGCCCGTGTCAGGCACAGTGGGGCCGGGATGAGCAGGAGCAGCAGGTAGGAGCTGCAAGCAGCGTTGGACTGTGGGTTTTGGCCTGATCCCTGCAGGCCACCCAGAGGGACCCCACCTGTGCACGAATTTGTGCACTGGGCCTCTAGTAATAAATAATGCTACAAGACTAAACTGTTTTGCATATTCACAAGTATAAACCTACTTTGCCCCACCCTGTATATTTATCTCTTCAGTATCCTGTTTTCATTTCCTCTGTATATATGCCCAGAAATAAAAATTGCTGGGTCATATGTCCGCTGTTTTTAATTTTGTGAGGAATCTCCATACTGTTTTCCGTAGTGGCTGCACCAGTTTACATCCCCACCAACAGTGCATGAGGATTCCCTTTTCTCCACATCCTCACCCACACTGAGCTCTTGTCTTCTTGATGCCTGTGATGATAGCTCATGGTGGTTTTGATTTCCCTGATGATCAGTGGTTCTGACCACCTTTTCATGTACCTCTTGGCCACCTGTACGTCTTCTGTAGAAAAATGTCTATTTAGGTCCTTCACTCATTTTTAAATCAGGTTGTGTGTTTACTGTTGAGTTGTTGGAGTTCATAACTGACCCCTCTTGGTTTACGTCGAGCTTCCCCTCTAAGGAGCATGTGGCCATCCTCGGTGAACCTCTGGGGCAGCAGGCAGTGTGGGCAGAGGGTAACTGTTAGCATGCACTGGCTTCCATTCCTGGCTCGGCCGCCAGCCAGCTGTGTGACTCCAAACACACTCCTCGACCTCTCTGTGCTCAGCCTTCCCCTCTGTATCATCTTTATGGAGCACATTGGCGGGGCCTGACAGCAAAGCCCTGATTATGCTGTCTGAGCACCTGTGCCTGCTCTCAGGTTTATCGTTACTGTGAGTGTGTGGCAGCCATGCTGGGGATGTGTCCCACGCAGGGATGTGGGGTGGCAGTTCTGATGGGGACTGTCATGTGGCACCCGGGAGCTGGAACTTTGGTTGGGGCATCTGGAGCATCCATGGCTGTCTTTTCTTCCCGTTTTATTTCCCAGCTTTTCCTCCCATTTTATTCCCTGGGCAGTCCTGGGTTTTGATGTGCCTTCAGAGGGCAGAAGGTAGAGAACGTGGGCTGTGGGCAGTGGGCCTGGTGGGGAGTCCTGTGGGAAGGAACAGGGACACCCACCTCAAGCCCACAGGCGCTGGGCCACGAGGCAGAGCTGAGTGGGCACCAGCGGGAGCCTGTGGGGTCGGGGACCTCAGGCATGGAGTGCTGGATGCAGACGGGCAATCAGGAGGAGGCTGGTGGCCTGCAGGTGATTACGGGCATAAAAGCTTCATCATGCAGGTGGAGTGATGGTGCGGTGCACGGCCCGTAATCCATCCTCCCCCAGACGCTTTATGGAGCATCTGACATTTCCAGCTTGCAGCCTCTTCATTACCAGCACTTGTAACGATGAATTAAAAATCCTTTTACACGAGGCTGGCTTGTACTGCTTAATGGAGCTGCGCAAGGAAGCCAGTGGTTAACTCCTGCTTGCCCAGCCGCCCGCCCATCTTCCCGGGCCATACAGGCCACATGTTGGGGAACAGTCACTCCAGGTCTTCGTCCATCAGTCTATCCCCAGTCTTCCCTGGCCACCATCTCTGGTGCCTGGGGGGTTCTGGTGAGCAGGGGCTGGCCCTGTCTGTCCAGTGGCCTGAGCCATGCGCTCATCCCCTCACCAGGCGGGGATGGGTGCTGGAAAAACCCAGACACTGGACCCACCCCATGCTCAGCTCCTGACAGATGGCATGGTGGGGGCCTGGCCCACATTCTTCATGATGCAGAAACTCAGAATAATGAGCTGCCACCCACTGGGGCAGAGGATGATTGTGTTTTGAGTCAGGCTAGGCCGATGGTTTCTCCTGGGCCTCGGTGGGGCAGGTGACACGTGCAAGATCTGGAGCCCTGCTGGCTCCTCCGGAATCTCAGGCACTGTGCTTCCCTCTGCTCTGCGGAGGCCCCGGACCGAGGGCTAATGCCGCAGGGGCATGTTGTATGTCAGTGCCGTCCCAAGGCCGGCGGGAGAATTCGATATTGACAGTTTAATAATGAGATCTCATTGCCATTGATCGGTGTGGCAGCTCCTGCGGCGCCCTTGGCCGCCGTGCTCATCTGGCTTTTGAACATGGTTTACAGCGTGATAAAGGCTGCTTATTAAATGCTCAGAGTGACGGGCACCAGCGGGCCTGCTGACTGCTGAGCCCCGGCGTGGGGGTGCCCGGGGTGCTGACGCCACAGGAGCAGGTCACCCCAGGCAGGGGCATTCCCACCACAGGACCGCCACTGGGTGTGAGCCCTCACGCAGACCCTCCTCCTTTTGAAGGAAGCTACTCTGCAGTGCTTTTTATTCAGAATTAAGATAGAATTCACTATTGTAAAGGGAGCCATTCAGTAGTAGCTTTTAATACATTCACAGAGTTGTACAATCATCATCTCTAATTCCAGAACATTCTATCATCCCCAAAAGAGCCCCCCAGTCCCCCTGCTCTTGGCAGTCCACTTCCTGTCTCTGGATGTACCTGCCTGGACATTTCACATAAATGGCAGCACACACTGTGTGGCCTGTGGTGTCTGGCTTCTCCCACTGAGCATGGTGTGTCAGGCCCACCACGTTGTAGTGAGTGTCAGTGCCTCATGCTTGTTGTTGGCTGAATTGTGTTCCGCCATGTGGCTGATTGGTGCCTGCTGCAGGCACCTCTGCAGAGGGGCCGGTGTGGGAGGGTCCTGGGAGTGCTCCTGCAGGTGGGAGGGAGCCATAGGCCAGTTGGTTTGAGGGGCTGTCCACTGTGGCGAGGGACACTCTGCCCCTTGCTCATCGGACTCCCTGGGCTTTTCCCAGGTGACTCTAGCCAAGGCCAGGCTGCCGGGGCCCCTGCCTCCCAGCCCTGGGCCTTGGGGGTCACTCCTAGGAAACAGTCCTGGAAGCTCAGTGGGGGGGCTCCCAGCACCAGGTGCCGGCAAGAGCCCCATTTCCTCTCCATGTCACCCCAGAAATGCGTGTACTGCCGGAAGCGGATGAAGAAGGTGTCTGGGGCCTGTATCCAGTGCTCCTGCGAGCACTGCTCCACTTCCTTCCACGTGACCTGCGCCCACGCCGCAGGGGTCCTCATGGAGCCAGATGACTGGCCCTACGTCGTCTCCATCACCTGCTTCAAGCACAAGTCGGGCGGCCATGCCGTGAGTGCCCAGCCCTTCCGCCCCCTCCCATTGCCCACCCACAGCCCGAGCGCTGACGCGGCCCTCTCCCCTCCGCCCCAGGTCCAGTTCCTGAGAGCTGTGTCCTTAGGCCAGGTGGTCATCACCAAGAACCGCAACGGGCTTTACTACCGGTGCCGTGTTATCGGCTCCACCACGCAGACCTTCTATGAAGTGAACTTTGATGACGGGTCCTACAGTGACAACCTGTACCCGGAGAGCATCACTGTGAGCTGTAGGCGGGCACAGGGTGGGCAGGGGCTGCTGTTAAGAAGTCAGGAGTGGCCCCAATCCCTCAAAGGAGTCACCTGTGTCCAGGGTCACCTATGACCCCACTGAACAGGTCTAGGCCATAGGCTTAGCAGAAAGCATTGTCGGTCTGGATGAGCCTACAGCAAGGGCGGCCCCCCAGGGTGGGCACTGCATCTCCTCCACCTCCCACCCCTGCCCAGCACCCGATCCTGTATGCTCAGAGAGCGCCACTGGCTTCCACAGGCAGTAGAGCATGGGGAGGATCTAACCCCACAGAGCCCACAGGTGGGTGCCGGTGCCCAGGGACCCCCGTCTCACCTCCTGCCACATTCTTGCTTCTTTTTTTTGTTGTTTAAAGTTTTACATATGTCTCCTTTTCCCCCAATTGACCCCCTACACACACACACATTCTTGCTTCTAACAGAGTCGAGACTGTGTCCGGCTGGGACCCCCACCCGAGGGGGAGTTTGTTGAACTCCGGTGGACTGATGGAAACATCTACAAGGCCAAGTTCATTTCCTCTGTGACCAGTCACATCTATCAGGTGAGCAGGGTGCTGTCTTCCAGGTATAGGAGGCAGGGGACCCGCAGGCTTGGGTGGGGCCCTCGAGTGTGCTGTTGGGGACTGCACATCTTTGCCCACTTAACCTAGAAAGTTAGGGCTTGTTATATTTTTAAGCTGGAAGGGGCCTCAAATTGTTTAATATTTCCCCCTTACAGATGTTTTCTCAATTTTTTTGTGTGGGAAGACATAGATAACATAATTGTTTAAAGTTTTACATATGTCTCCTTTCCCCCAATTGACCCCCTACACACACACATTCTTGCTTCTAACAGAGTCGAGACTGTGTCCGGCTGGGACCCCCACCCGAGGGGGAGTTTGTTGAACTCCGGTGGACTGATGGAAACATCTACAAGGCCAAGTTCATTTCCTCTGTGACCAGTCACATCTATCAGGTGAGCAGGGTGCTGTCTTCCAGGTATAGGAGGCAGGGGACCCGCAGGCTTGGGTGGGGCCCTCGAGTGTGCTGTTGGGGACTGCACATCTTTGCCCACTTAACCTAGAAAGTTAGGGCTTGTTATATTTTTAAGCTGGAAGGGGCCTCAAATTGTTTAATATTTCCCCCTTACAGATGTTTTCTCAATTTTTTGTGTGGGAAGACATAGATAACATAAAATATACTGTTTAACCATTTTAAGCATACAGCTCAGTGTCCCTGATTTTTTTTTTTAAATGAGGACGGATGGTTGTTCCTTCCCATGATTGTGGAAGGGAAATTATTTACAAGCGTGGAACCCTAGAAGAAAAACCACCCGTGTCCCAGCACCACAGACAATGACTACGAATTCCTTGCTGTTTTGCTTTCTCTTACCAGAGAAAACAAAACAGTCTGGACCCTTCATCACTTTGAAGAAAAAAAAAAATTAAAAAAAAAATATATTGATTTCAGAGAGGAAGGGAGAGGGAGAGAGAGAGAGAAACATCAATGATGAGACAGAATCATTGATTGGCTGGTTGCCTTCTGCACGTCCCACACAGGAGATGGAGCCCGCAACCCGGTCATGTGCCCTGACTGTGAATGGAACCATGACCTCCTGGTTCATAGGTCAATGTTCAACCACTGAGCCATGCTGGCCGGGCAACCCTCCATCATTTTTAATCACATCCCTTTCCTCTCGTTGCCCTTACTTGATGAGTGGGGACATGAGTGGGCTGGTGGGGATGCCCTGGACCAGCACCCTGCTTGGCAGTTTGCTGGCCGGGCAACCCTCCATTTTTAATCACATCCCTTTCCTCTTGTTGCCCTTACTTGATGAGTGGGGACATGAGTGGGAAGGTGGGGATGCCCTGGACCAGCACCCTGCTTGGCAGTTGAGCAGCGGTGGCCTGGGTGGTGGGACCTTGGGAGTCAGTCATTGGTGCTGGGCACCAGCCTGAGAACTGTGCCCTCGGACAGGTGGAGTTTGAGGACGGGTCCCAGCTGACAGTGAAGCGCGGCGACATCTTCACCCTGGATGAGGAGCTGCCCAAGAGGGTCCGGTCACGGCTGGTAAGTGGCTGCACAAGGTGGGCTGCCCTCAGAAGCCCTCGGGAGTCATGGGATGTGGCCTTGACCTCCCTGCCGTGTCCTTTGCTCCCCTGGGGGGCAGCTCCCAGGAGTGAGCATGGTCTGGCAGGTGGGAGCACGTTGGAGGGCCCTTCCCAGTAACAGCGCAGGGAGGAGGAGATGAACCTGCAGCAGGCAGGCGCCTGGTGACACGTCCTGCACGTGGAGCAGCTGCCGCCTGCACACACAGTCTGAACTCCAAGGTTGGCGGTGCAGAAAGAGACACTTTCTAAAGCTCATCCCTTTCAAAGGGAACAGTGAGTCCGGGAGGTGGGAAGCGATGGGCCTTTCCTCCCCGCCCGTCACTGTTCCCTTTCTTTTGTGTTTAATCCAAAGGCCAGGTTTTGAGGAGCAGGCGGCTGCGGCTGCGGGTGATTGAGCTCAAAGTAAGAGCTCGGGGGCATGACGGGGGGTTTGCACAGCTGACCTCAGACACCAGGTTCCCTTGGGGAATGGACTGGAGCTGCCAGACAGATGAGCAGCTGCACCCCCATCACTCCTCATGGCCCGGCCACCCCCTTTCTAGAGCCAGTAACGGAGGTGTTGGATCCCCTCCGGGCCCACCTGCTGGGAGGCTCAGGCATAGGATTGGGGGTTTACACAGAGACAGACAGGAGCACTGAGAAGGAGAAGCCATCCCAGGGACTAACTGTCCCTCTCGGAAGGTATTAGGTGAGGGACAGTGGCCTTGGGCCCCCACAGGGCAGGCCCCAGTGGAGCCCTTGTTTCAGCCTGTCCTGGCTGCTATAACAGACCACGGACTGGGCAGCCTAAACCACAGACATTGCTTCCCAAAGTCCTGGAAGCAGGAAGTCCAAGATCAAGGTGCTGGAAGATCTGGTGTCTGGTGAGACCCACTTCCTAGTTCACAGCCAGCCCCCTTCTGGGGTCCTTATGTGTGTGTGTGTGTGTTGCGGGGGAGGGAGGGAGTGGTGGTGGGGGGAGAGCACTTGAGCCGCACAGGCGTGCTCTGGGGTCCTTTTTGTAAGGGTTCTAATCCCACTCAAAGGGTCTCACCATCATGGCCTAATGCCTTCCCAAAGGCCCCACCCCTAATACCATCACACTGGTGGATAGAGCTTCAACACAGGAATTTGGGGGACATAAACCTTCAGTCCATGACAACCCCTTCTGCACTAACTCCTGTGCTGTCTGGTCCCCCACAGTCAGTCAGCACCGGGGCGCCGCAGGAAAGCGCCTTCCCTGGAGAGGAGGTGAAGGCCGCCAAGCGCCCGCGCGTGGGCACTCCACGTGCCGCCGAGGACTCGGGGCGGAACCCAGACTACCTGGCCTTCATGGAGAGCCTGCTGCAGGCCCAGTGCCGGCCCAGAGCCCCCTTCTAGGACCGCCAGCCAGCGCCCAGCCACCCCTCAGCCCAGCAAAGCAGGCGGCAGCGGCCCGGGCATTTGCTTGCTGTGAATTCCTGTCCTCGCCTCCCCGCCCCGAGAGGCTACCTCCATGCTCTGCGGGGACAGGAGCAAGCAGGATGCTGCAGGGCCCAGACTCAGGGAGTGGGGCCGTGCCGGCTCTGGGGGCATCGGCTGGGGCTCGCGCCACCCCTACTACTCAGATTCGTAAACCACGTAAGCTCTTCTTCTTGAAAAGGTGCTACTGCGTTGCCTGCCTCCTGAGCAGCCTTTGAGATTGTGACTCCTGTACATAAATCTCCTTTGTGAGGCTCTTTCTATAAATACTTATTGTTTAAAAAACTCAAGAAAAAAGGAAAACAAAGAAGAGGAAAAAAGTCCCTAAAGTTGTTTTGTAGATTTGTGGCTTTAAAAACAAAACAAAAAATATTCTTTTTATTAGAACCGAGACGTGCTGAGGGAGACAAAAGCATCTCATTTTTTTGTTTGTTGTTATTTTAAGATCTTATTCCTCTGTGAGCAGGCAGGGAAGTGCGGTGAGGCCTGGAGGGGGGATGACACCCAGCGACAGGCCATGCCCTGTCACTCTGCTCTCTCCCTGACTTTGTGAAGGTCTGTCTGCGCAGCTGGCCACAGTGCCAGCCCCTCTCTGGCCAGGCAGGAGGAGGGACAGGAGGAGGTTGGAGGACCTTTTAGTGGCCAAGTGCTGGCCACGGTGTCTAGGAGCCTCCCTCCTGTCTGAGCACCTTTGCAAATAAACAATCTCTTCTGGTTTGTTCCATCTTTTGCTTCTTCCCCCGTGAGAACCATTCCACAGTGAGGCCTGCAGTATGCGAGGGGGCTCTGTGCAGACTGAATGCCCCTGGTGCACCCAGGAGCCCCTCATCCTGCTCAGGGGAGGGAGCCCCAGTGTGGGTGGCCTTCAGCGGAGCAGATGGGCTCCCGGCTTCCGGGGAGGGAGGACACAGAGCCGAATCAGGCCTCCAGGTGGCCCAAGTCCAGCCTGTGTCCCCAGGCTCCTGGTGCCCCTGCTTTGGCTGCAGCCCTACATGGGGAAAGGGCATGGGGAGGGCTTCCTGGGACCCCGAGGGGCTGGCAGCGTCCTCTGTCCTTTCTGTGACCCGTGTGTCTGGGAGAGTGAGCAAGAGAGGGAGAGGGCATTGCTGCTTTCAGCGTGAAGGAATCTGCCTCTGACCAGTGGTGGGTGGACTCAGGAGAGAGAAACACGCTTTCCCGCGAGCTCGGGAAGGGCTCCGCGCTCTCCATCCCTTCCGTGCCCTCTTCCTGCAGGACTGACAGCGTCATTTACGTGTATACGTTTTTTAATTAAAAAAAAAAGTGTTCTAACGCTTGCCAGGCCAGAGAAAACTATTTAAGGAAAATGGAGAGTATGTAAATGAGCCAAGAACCTTTCATTCCCTTGGTGGGGGGAGGAGGGCAGTTGTCCGTGTGGGCGGGGGCGGGAGGGACTGAGGGGAGTCAGCCGAGATGTGGGGGTCTCCCTCTGCATGCAGCAGCCCCGCCTGGTGGCGCCATCTCTGTATTCATATGTAGTTTGAAAATGCTATTTATATTGTAAAGAAAATAAAAAGAAGCAGGCAGACACTCTGTGGCCCATGGGGTCCTGGGGGTCTGAGGGATAGCCAGCCCCGTGGCGGGGTCTCTGGGTCGCGCCCCTGTCATGGGTTCCGGGATGACTTGTGCAGACAGGTCGCCGCACAGCAAAGAGAAACACATTTCCCCACAAAGATATATGTCTATGTGCAAAAACAGAAACCCCACCCACCCTCATTTTTTTCCGACCCAGGATTAAGGATGTGCTGTATTTTTTGCCTAATTTCCCTGCCTCTAGGTTCATAATGAATTAAAGGCTCATGAGCACTGCGATTACAGGTCCATGTCGTTGGTGTGTCTTCATTTCTGAGTGGTGCCTGGGCGACAGGAAGGCGGTCTCCCCAGTGGCCTGGCCCCTCAGCTCCCAGCCCCCAGGGAGGAGGGCTCCTTCCCACGCTCATGTCCACAGCTTGTATCTGCACACTTTCCTCTCCGAAGGCTTTCTGGCCCCTCAGGCAGGTGGGGCTGAGGTGGCTGTGGCAGTGGGCCCCCTCTGCGGACAGTCAAGCAGCACCCTCTGGCTTTGACCCCTCTCTTGTTTGGAGAAGATGGCTGCCCTCTCCTACTGCCTTCTCAGCCTCTGCCCCGTTCCCGTGACACCTGAGTGGTGGGCGTCTATTGGGCATGAAAGACAGTGGGTCTCCTGGCCCTGGGGTGAGTCTGGGCCCCTGGCATTCATGAACATGTCACTCACCTCACAAGTACTGGGAAACAGCACCAACACAGCAGGTCTGATCCCCGCCCTCAAGCTGACACCAGTGAGAGAGACAGGCAGTAAGCAAAATGTATGGGATGTCAGCTGTGCTGTAAAGAGCAAAGGGGGACATGGTAGGATGTGCTGTTACTAGTGTCATATTTTTACACACAAGTCCTGAAGGAGATGAGAAAGTGACATGGTAGGATGTGCTGTTACTAGTGTCATTTTTACACACAAGTCCTGAAGGAGATGAGAAAGTGAGCCATGGGGACAGCCTGTGCAAAGGTCCTGGGGCAGGACTGCCTGACATGTTGGAAAAGCAGCCAGGACGCCTATGTGGCTGGAGCAGAGTGAGCGAGGGTGCGGGGGTGAGAGCAAGGAGGTGATGGGGGCAGGTCATGCAGGGTCTGTGGGCCCCAGGGAGCACGTATTCCTTTATCCCAAGGGAGATGGGAGCCCTGGAGGGCAGCGGACTGAGGAGGGATGGAACCTGGCTTGGGTGCTCACAGGCGCCTTCTGGCTGCTGCAGGGAGGACAGCCTGGAGGGTGAGGGTGGGAGCTGGGGATCAGCGGGGAGGGAACAGCACTGAGCACCTGGGAAGATGGCATTGCCATGAGCTGGAATGGGGAACCTAGAGAGATCCCCCATGAGAAGAGACATGAGTTTGGGGCCAGGGCAGGGCCTTTAGATGTCAGCTCAAAGGTGGTATGTTTGCTGAACTGATGAGAAAGGACTCAGAACGGGGCCCAGGGTGTTCGTGCAGGATGGTGAGGAGGAGCAGCCTGTGACATGGGGGTACCCCTCTCTGAGCCTCGGCTTTTCCTCTGCAGAATGGGTGTCCTTGCAGGGCAATTGTGTCCTGAGCAGTGATTTCCTTTGATAACGTTTCCATCCAGCCACAGCCACCCTCACCTGACTTCTCAGACCCTTCTTTTCGGAGAGAAGCAGCCTTCAACAGCACCAGGACTGTTTCCCCATTTGCTACAGGGGCCTCAGCATCGCTGACTAGACAGGTCAGTGTCCTCTGAGCCTGCCCAGAGCTTGATGGACACACTCAGTCCTCAGCCCCGGGGTGGGGGCCGCAGAGAGCAGACCCAGGTGGTTGGCACGGCAGCAGCGGGCCCGCTGTTACCATCATTCTCTGAAACATCGTAAAACAGGGAGGTGTGTGCGACAGGCCCCCGTGGTCTGCAGCCAGGGCCGAGACACCTGGCTGGGCCCCCTGTGCAGCCATGTGGAGCCAACGGGCCCTGCCCTCAGCACTAGAGTTTGACTCATTTATCCTGGCAGCAAATACTCCTGCGCACCTGCCCTGTGCCAGGACCCGAGGAGCTGGCTGAACAAAAGGGAGACACAGGCATTGCTTTTGTGGGGTTTAGAGTTCAGGAGAGCAGGCAGAGGACGGAAATGTCAGGGACCATAACTACATCTCTGACATACGCCCTGAAGGATGAGAAGGTGGGGGTGGTGGAGGTCCTGGACATTAGGATGTGGGGGAGACGTCTTAGGAGGTAAGGTCTAATTGGATCCAACCCTTCAAGGGGTGTCCTATCCGAAAGACGTGGGGCCAGGGGCACACTGCGTCCAGTGCCCCGTCTTCCTGGGCCCAGCAACCTGAAGCCCTCGGGCCAAATCTAGCCCTCCATTTGTTCTTGTTTTTGTTTTTGTTTTAATCTTTACCCGAGTATTTCTAGAGAAAGTGGAAGGGAGGTAGAAGCGGGGAAGGGGGAAGAGAAACATCCATGTTCGAGAGACACATCGATGGGTTGCCTCCCACAGGTGCCTTTGGGAATTGAACCCAGGATCCTTCCGTCTGTGCACCACTGCTCTAACCACTGAGAAAAACCAGGCAGGCCCTCCACTTGTTTTTTATAAATAAATCTTTATTAGCACAGCCACACCCACTCATTTAGCATCATCTATGGCGCTTCCACTCTACAACAGCAGAACTGAGCAGTAGCAACTGAGACCCCCTAGCCCAGGGGTGGGCAAACTTTGACTCCAGGGCCACAATGGGTTCTTAAACTGGACCGGAGGGCCGGAACAAAAGCATGGATGGAGTGTTTGTGTGAACTAATATAAATTCAAAGTAAACATCATTACATAAAAGGGTACGGTCTTTTTATTTTTTTTAGTTTTATTCATTTCAAACGGGCCGGATCCGGCCAGCGGGCCGTAGTTTGCCCACGGCTGCCCTAACCCCAAAAGTCAGACATGTTTAGCATCTGACCCTTTACCAAAAAAAATGGTCCTCATCCCAGACCTAGAGTAAGTGGAGGTGGCTGCCTCCACACTACTGAGTGCCTCTGACAACATCTTTCTCCCATGGGGCAGCCCTCATGCCCAGACCCACCTCATCTCTCAAAGCTCCCTCATTCCTAGCGCACTTCCCCCCGTAGGAAGCATGGCAGAGAGGACTGACCAGGGACCCTCCACTCATCCATCACCCATCCTCAGGGACTCTGCCCTCCACAGCTCCACCACCTCAGCTGGTCCTGCTCCCTGTTGGCAAGAGAACCAAACCTGTCAGGTGTCCCAGCCCTGCAGGCTACCCGACCCCAGGTGACCACCGTCAGCCCGCATAGAAAAGGGTTCGGGCCTCCGTTAGCCTCTGCAGGCCGGTGGTGGGTGGTGCTGAAGTCTGTGTCTGCTCCCACCCCACGCCCCCTCCCAGCGGTGCCTCCTGTCCCAGTGAGACATGGGGAGCCCTGGCACCCTCCCCAGGGAGCATGATTTGTGGATTAGGTTTACTTGGCACTTGTGCTCTGTTAATGGAGAACATAAGAATTATTTGCTGTCACGGGCAGCATGAGGGGTGACACACGGCCAGGCGAGGCAGGGAAGAGTGAGTGTCGGGGTGCCCGGTGACTCCTTGGTGTGGCATCCATCCTGCTGCTCCCCAGGGGACAGACAGATGTGTCCCAGCAGCTTCCTGGGGCTGGTGGCTTCACACAGCAGACATTCTCTCCCCGTCCTGGAGGCCAGAAGTCCCGAGATCCAGGTGTCCGGGCTGCACGCCGCCGGAGGCTCCAGGAGAGGGTCCCTTCGCCTCTTCCAGCTTCCGGTGGCCCCGGTGACCTATGGCTGGTGGCCGCATGGCTGCAGGGTCTGCGTTCTCCACATGGCCATCTCCCCGACTCTGTGTCTTCTCTCTGTCTCCAGTGTCTCTCAATCTGCTTCGTATAAGGACACCCATCGCTGGATTTGGGGCCTGCCTGAATAATCCATTCTCTTCATCTCAAGACCCTTAACTTGATTACGTCTGCAAAGACTTTTTTTTTTCCAAATAAGGTCATAGTCTCAGGTCTAGGAATTAGCACCTGGCGTATGTTTTGGGGGCCCCAGACCACTCCAGCATCCTTCCCCCATCACGGACCTAATGACCCTGATGTCACTGCCTGGTCCCCACTGTCCCCCCACGTGGCCACGAGCGCCTCGAGCATAAGAACGAGGTCTCAGTCCCCTTGGCATGTGCTGAGCTCTTACACGCATAGTCTTGTTTCATGTTCTTCCAACTGTAACTGAAATCAACCAGGGTGTGGTGGGCCCCCCATGGAAAGTAGACAGCAATGTGTGAACCCAACTGTGCCACCGAGAGGGAGAGGGGAGAGAGAAGCTGGTCTGTGGGCTTTGGAAACAGTGTTCTGACTGGATCCTGTTAGGCTACAGACAAAGATACTTACACACCAACGCTGCACCCAAGCTAGGAACTGGTTCTCTCCGGGCAGCCACGCCGGAGCTACTTTGTGTGAGTCCTGGGGTTGGACAAATGAGTAAATAGATTGTAGGTGATAGAGCCAGGTTCCTCTGAGTCAGAGAAAACAAGTTAGGGAATACTAAAAAAAAAAAAAAAAGGATACAGACGTAGAAAAAACACAGGACCCAAACCTAAGCCAAGGCTAGAAAAATTTGAACGAGATAAATTACGGTATTGAGTTATAACCAATAGAATAAAATATACAAATTGCTACAATAATTGAATTGATAAGTAAATGGGCTGGGGAGCCCTGGCTGGGGGGCTCAGTTGGTTGGAGCGTCATCCCGTATACTAAAAGGTTTCGGGTTTGATCCCCAGTCAGGGCGCGCGTACATGAGGCAACTGATCAATGTTTTTTTCTCTCACATCAATGTTTCTCTCTCTTCCTCTCTCTCTCTCTAAAAAAAAGAAAGAAAGAAAAGAAAATCAATGAAAACATATTCTTACCCTGGCCAGTGTGTGTTCAGTGGTTAGAGCATCGCCCCCCACACTGGAAGGGCCATGGCGTCAACTCCCAGTCAAGAGCATGTACCTGAGCTGTTTCCTGTAAAAATGTGAAATTTGTAAATTAAAATAAAAGCTCTGACGGTTGGAAAAAAAAAAAAAAAGAGCATTTACCTGAGTTGCAAGTTCACTCCATGTCCCGGGCCGAGGCACCTGTGGGAGACAGTCAATGTGTCTCTCTCACATTGATGTTTCTCTCTCTCTCTTCCCCCCATCCCTTCCACTCTCTCTGAAAAGTAATGGAAAAAATATCCTCAGGTGAGGATTAACAAAAACAAACAAACAAAAAACATATCTTTGGGTGAGGATTAAAATAAATAGG